GGAAATCTTTGGGACTTGGTGAGGCTGTGTGGATGGTGATTAATGACTTGGTCTAGGGAGCGTAAGGTTTGAGGAAGGACAGGTTTAGTAATGGGCATGCTATGCTGTGGTGCACGTGTGCAGATTGGAGAGCAACTTGTGGGACTTGGTCTTCTCCTTTTACCATGAGGGCTCCAGGGATTGACTTAGGTTCAGTGTCTGATTGGCAGTGGGCATCCACTAGGCCTCTGTCTGGGCCTGCTGCCGCTGCCGTAGCCACATAGCTGCTAGTATTTCAGTCCTGGCGCTCTGCTGAGGGTAGATTTCTGAGATGCACTTTATTTTTGTTTTTACTGTTTTACAAATGTCAGTCTCTCAGGAAGGAGATTATGCCTTGTTTTACTTTGTTGTGAGAGGTCAAAGTGATCCACATACTTGGTAAGCGTCTAGTGTTTGTTGTGTGAATTAAATCTACTTCAGAAAAGTGATCCCTTTAACTGTTATATTCAGGTGATCTTTGAATCTTTCAAGAAGAAAGAAGGTGATCTTGTTCCCAATTCCACTGGGAATATGGTGCTTGTTCTAATAACCTTTGTAATGAATTTTTAAAGCCTATATTAGCATAAATTCTCATTTCCGTTTAATCCCTTTCCCATCACTTTAAAGCACTTAGTAAAACTCTCTGTATTCCTGTTCACCCTGTTTTCATTCCAGACTTCATAACTTCAAGGGCTGCAGTGAGCTCTCCCCTTCTGTGACTCCCCTCTGGCTCCAGTGCTGAATGACGGCTGGGATGGCTGATCAGCTGCCTCTTTTGTGGTAGGAAGCTGGCTTGTCCAGAGCTGTGCTTCGTGCTCCAGTCATTTGCCCAGTCCCACTTCCTCTTGAGGTGTTTACCTGTTTCTACCTCCCTTTTCAGCAAAGCACCAGCACCCAAACCAAATTCAGAACAATAAACAAAACCAACCCAAACCAAAACCCAGGCAGATTTAATTTCTTCAAAGATTTAGACAAACTATTCAGCTAGATTGAAATTCTACTTGGGTCCTTGATTCTTGCTCATTTATCTTATTTATATTTGTACAACTTTTTTTTTTTTTTTTTTTTTTTGAGACAGGGTTTCTCTGTATTGCCTGTCTTGGAATTAGCTAGGTAGACCAGGCAGGCCTCGAACTCACAGAGATCCGCCTGCCTCTGGCCTCCCGAGTGCTGGGATCAAAGGCGTGTGCCACCACCGTCCAGCTGTTTGTACAATCTTTTGTGGTTTTACATTCCACTAGAACATTTTCTAGTAGATAATGAATTGTGTCATCATGGGATAGGTTCATATGGCAGACACCTTGTGTACGTGTGCCTGTACATGCACTCTGCACACACATCAAGTGTGTTCTTCACTGCACTGCTGAAAGGGCTCTGGCTGCTGCCCACAGCAAACATAACCTGACTAGCTTTTGATGGTAGTACTTGTAGAAGAAGCTCAGTCTTGTACAGAAGAGAGCACATGTTGGTTTAGACTATTACTTTTTTTGTCTGGGTATGTGTGGTCTATGTTTGTATATTGTAGGCATCCTCACCCATGTGTGCATGTGTGGAGGGTCAGAGGTTAGCATCAGGTGTCTTCTGCTACTCTTCTCCTTGTTTTTTAGACAGCTTCTCTTGAACCTGGACCATCCCATTTTGGTGAGAATGACTGGTCAGGGCCTGCCTCCTCCCACGGGGAGGTTGGGTTACAGCCATGCCTGGCTTTTCTGTGTGTTTGAGATTTATACTTGGATCCTCTTGCTGTGATTGCATGTTTTAAACATAAACAAGACTGGCATTGTCTCTTGGGAAGCACATGGATCTTGTTACACACGATGGTGGCAGTGCAAAGCAGTTCAAACACTTGGGAAATCAGTCAAGTCGTTTCTTACAATGTTAAGCATTTATTTGTTCTGTAAACAAGTGGAAAAAGTTGATAGAATGATATTATGAGTCTCTGTGTGCCTTTGCTCCCTTTTAAATAATTATTAGTGTTCGCTTCATATGCCCCACCTGGACATGTTTGAAGTACATCCTAGACATTTTTTTCTTCACTTGAAAATACTTGGGTGTGAGACTTTTCTTATGTGACAGGAGGCATTCATTGTATTTGTTTGTTTGTTTATTTGAGACAGGATCTCACTCTGTAGCTCTGGCTGTCCTGGAATTCATGATGTAGGCCAGGTTGGCCTTGAACTCACAGAAATCTTTGGTTTATGATCTAATAAAGTTTGCCTGGAGTTCAGAATGCAAAGCCAGCCACAGCCATAGAGTCCAGAAAGTGGTGGTATATACCTTTAATCCCAGTAGCCACACTAGTCAGCCATAGAGGATGGTGGTGGTCCATGCCTTTACTCCCAGCACTAGAGAGACATAGAAGACAGGATCAGGGTTTCAGACCTGGCAATTAGTTTCCAACCATGTTGAGGATAGGATTGCCCCAGCCTTGGTAGATAGTAGAGCTCTCTGGTGACTTGGCTGCTTTGGTTTTCTGATCTTCAGCTTGAACCCCAATCTCTCTCTCTCTCTCTCTCTCTCTCTCTCTCTCTCTCTCTCTCTCTCTCTCTCTCTCTCAATTATTATTTGTGCTACAGATATCTGCTTGCCTTTGCCTTTCATGCACTGGGATTAATGGTGTGTGTCACTATGCCAGGCCAACATTCATTTATTTTAAATACTATGTTAGAGACTGGAAATTTTATAGGCCCTTTGGATATATGGATCAATAGAATAAACCATGGTTTATATATTGAGTATGGAGAAACAGGAAATGATCACACAAATAACCATAACAGGAACAGGAACAGCATTGGCTTCGTTAAAGCATTTTATAGAAAACATCATTAGTAAAAATGAAGAAAGAAAAAGTCTTATAAAACATATCAGAGAATTTCAAATTCATAATCCATGAGCAACTTTTACAAGTCAATAAGGAAAAGAAAGACCCAAGTTAAGAAATGAGCAAAAGGCTAGCGATGCACACAAACCACCCCTGCCATCAGGGGGATGCATATTGAAACCATATACACCCACTAGCGTGACTCTTGGTGGGGTCTCACACATGGCAGGTGGCAGTTTAAATTACTTTGAAAATCAGTCAAGCAGTTTCTCACCAAATTAGATCTGCCCTAGCTATTTACTTAAATGAAGAACATTATTTGTGAAAAGACATGTATAAGAATACTCACATCATTTTTACCATAATAATAACAAAAAGAAATAGCTCAGATGTCCATCAGCAGAGTTCTGCTGTACCCTTGTAGTTTATCACACTCAACAACGCAGTGGGACCTTGTACTGATGTGTGCCAGCAAAAACACCCCGCTGAGCAAAATGCAGCCAGACCCCCTTCCCCTCATAGGAACTTCTAGAACAAACTTGTCTATCTACTGTGAAGAAGTGTGAACTGGTTGGGGATGTGGTGTGGTGTGGAGTGAGGGGTTGTGCTTCTGGGGATGCACTGCAAAGGGACATGCAGGAGACATCTTTAGAGGGCATTTAGGAACAGAGCTCTGTCTTACATACATTTCTTTTGACGGTACTGGGATTGAGTCTAGTGCCTTTTGTATGCCATCTGAATGCTCTTCCACTAAGCTCTGTCCCCAACTCCAGAACTCTGTCTTCTCCCAGCCTGAGGTTTTCTCTTTTTTTCTTTTTGGAAGCAGGGTTTCTCTGTAGCTTTGGAGGCTGTCCTGGAATTTGGTTGGTAGACCAGGCTGGTCGTGAAGTCACTGAGATCCTCCTGCCTCTGCCTCTTTAGTGCTGGGATTAAAGGCATGCACCTCTGCCACCACCTGGCCAACCCCTGATTTTTAACAGTGTTTGTGTGTGTGTGCACATGTGTCACAGCCTCTGGAGGTCACAGGGACAGCTTTGCAGCCTGTTTCCTACCATGTGGTTTCCTTAGGCACTGAGGCTTGGGACCAAGTGCTTTTAATTGCTGAGCCATTTTGCCAGCCCTGGAGCTTGTATCTTGATAAGGGTATCTGGGAGGTATCCTCTGGGTACCTAAGCTGCTTTTCTTCTATTTGCATTAGCCATGCAGGAATGTTCTGGTAGCTCCCTATCTTCACAAATATCCACTGTGGTCCCACTTTTCCTCTCCCCCTCCTCCTTCCCTCCCCCCTCTTCCTTCCCTCCCCCCTTTCCTCCCCTCTTCCCTCTCCCCCTCCTCCTTCCCTCCCCTCTTCCTCCCCCCTTCCCTCTCCCCCTTCTCTCTCCCCCTCCTCCTTCCCTCCCCTCCTCCTTCCCTCCCCCTTTCCTCCCCTCTCCTCCTTCCCTCCCCCCTTCCCTCTCCCCTTCCTCCTTCCCTCCCCCTCCTCCCTCCTCCTCCTCCTTCTCTCTTCCCCTTCCTCCTTCCCTCTCCCCCTCCTCCATCCCTCCCCTCCTCCTTCCCTCCCCCTTTCCTCCCCTCTCCTCCTTCCCTCCCCCTTCCCTCTCCCCCTCCTCCTTCCCTCCCCTCCCCCCCTCCTCCTTCCCTCCCTCTCCTCCCTCCCCCTCTCCTCCTTCCCTCCCCCTCCTCCCTCCTCCTCCTCCTTCTCTCTTCCCCTTCCTCCTTCCCTCTCCCCCTCCTCCATCCCTCCCCCTCCCTCCATCCCTCCCCCTCCTCCATCCCTCCTCTTCCTCCTTCCCTCCCCCCTCCCTCCCCCCTCCTCCTTCCCTCCCTTCCTTTTTTTCTGTTTTTAAAAATGGGAACCTTACTGTGTAGTCTAGCTGACCTGGTAGTCACTGTGTAACCTCGATTGGGCTTGATCATAAGGCAATCATCCCATAACAGCCTCAGAATTGTTGGGATTTCAGGAAAAAAAAAACCCACCACACTCAGTAAGATTGCCTAGTTTGCAAAAAGAACTTTATACATGTGTTCAGGTTTAGTCAAGTATGGAGGAAACTTCACTGATGTTAATTTCATCATGTTTTTCTTCCTTAGGTTCAGACTGAGGTTTGCATTTTGTTATGGTCAAAGCTTTAATGTCATGTTTGTTTATTTCACAGATTATAAGTTCTAGTTAAATTCAACTGTGACTGAAGAAACATCACCAGAACTTTATTAAGAATGGATTCTGATAATAAACATGAAAATGATGAGGATGAAGAAGCAACAGACATAAAAAGTGTTTCATCCCGTGATGCCAGTTGTGGGCCTGTATCTGATGGCATAGCAATTACCTCTGAGAATTTTACAAACAAAAGGGGTTTGTCAGAATCATCCAGCTTGGACAGTGTTGCTGTGGAGGAAGACGGAAGTGCACTTGCTTCCAAACGGATGAGAATAGAGGCGGAGGAACCCCTTGAGACGGGAGAGCAGGGCACCTGTGGGTTGGACATTGCGGAAGTCAGTGTCCACTCAGCTGAAGCACGAAAGGAGACCTTTTCCGCCAACAGCTCAGATGGAGGCAGATCCCTTCCCAGTGACTTCTCCCCATCCTCTGACTTTAGCACATTTGAAACGCTTCCTTTGAAAGCAGTGAGAAGGCCTGCTCAGGAAATGGTTTCCCTTGTTCCAGAAGGACACACTCCTTTTCCTCCAGAAGAAATGAGCGTTAGCTGTAGCTTTGGAAATGCAGAGACAGTTCTCCAGTGCAGCACGTGTGGCCATTCATGTGCCTCTTGCTCTGCTTTGGAAGAGCATGTGGAATGTCACGTGGAACAGGACAAGGAATGTGCCTGCTGCCGCTGTAGCCGCCGAGCAGAGGGCAGCTCGTGTCCTCACGTGCATGTCAAGCATACTCACGGGGCACAGAAAGTCTTCTCCTGTGACCTCTGTGGCTTCCAGTGTGCTGACGAAAACCTGTTGAATGCACATTATCTTGGCAAAACACACCTTCGGCGTCAGAATCTTGCTGCTCGTGGAGGATTTGTACAAATCTTAACAAAGCAACCTTTTCCTAAAAAAACCTGTGTCATGGGGACAAAGAATGTTAGAACAAAACCAAGAGCGTCTAAACCAATAGCAAGGGGTGGAGATTCAAAAGGAGTGCAGAATACTGGCAGCAAATTTAAAGACTGCAGAGGAGCCCCTTCTGAACAGACTGGTGAGGGCAGTGAGCTGCTTGTCCAGATGGTGCCGTCTAGGGTGACTTCATCAGGGAGAGGAGAGATTGTTGAGGAAAATGCTGCTTTGGGTATAATTCAAAATCCTGAATATCAGGATAAACAGCTACGGGGCTTAGTAAGCTCAGAGGGTCTTATAGGTAAATCAGAGTCCATCAGAAACACCCTCCAGATAGCTCATATTAGTATCAGTACCACCTCAAGGCCAAAATCTGAGCGAAATGTCTTAATGCTGGGTAGTAGCTTTCGCAGACGAAGTGGCACGTTTACTTTAAAGGGCCAGGCAAAGAAAAGGTATAATCTTCTAGGAATTAATAAAAGGGGTGCAAATGAAACTCAGAGAATGTACATGAAACACCTCAGAACCCAGATGAAAACAAACGGCGTGCAGTCAATGGCAGAACAAATACACTTGAGCAAGGATGTCCAGAGTCTGTGTGTGACTGCCTCAGGTGACCCCGAAGCGATGTCGGACAAGGCAACCGCTGACCGCCAGGTCCTGTGTACCTCCCCAGAGTGTGGTCACAGAGCTGCAGACAAGACAGACTTGGAAGTTCATGTTAAAGGGTGCCATGCAAGAGAGGTGCAGTCTCACTGTCAGACTTGTAACTTCTCTAGTCCATCACAGAAAGACTTGGAGGAGCACTTGCACAGTAGTCAGCATCAGAGTGTGACTCCTGCCCTCAGCTGCCAGTGCTGCTCCTTCATCTCCTTGAGTGAATCGAGTCTTAGAGAGCACATGAAGGAAAGCCATAGCATGGGCTTCTTTTGCACCTCTTGTAATCTGTTCTTGTCTGAGAAGGATGTGGAAGAACACAGAGCTACTGAGATGCATAGCAGCTTAGTGGTCCAACCAAAGATGGCGTCCGTTTCAGCTTCATGTACTGTAGAATCAGAAAACACGGGGGGTTCTAGAGCAGAGTCAGGGGAAGCAGCTAAGGCGGATCCGGCCGAGTCGAGGGTCAGCCACGGAACTGAAGCGAGGCATTCGAGTAAGCCTCAGTTCCAGTGTAAGAAGTGCTTCTACAAAACAAGGTCTTCTACTGTCCTCACCAGGCACATCAAGCTTCGGCACGGGCAAGACTACCACTTCCTTTGCAAGGCGTGTAATCTGTATTCCTTGAGCAAGGAAGGAATGGAGAAGCATATTAAAAGAAGCAAACACCTTGAAAATGCTAAGAAGAACAATATTGGCTTAAGTTTTGAAGAGTGCATTGAGAGGGTGTGCATAGGAGCAAATGATAAAAGAGAGGAGTGTGACATCCCCGGAAGTGGGGTCCCCGAAGGCCATGCCGGTGCGCGATTACAGGAGCATTCCCATCGTGAGCAGGGCTCGCTAACTCCTAAGGAACTGCCACAGTCTGGTGTCATCACCAAAGATGATGAACTAGCCTTAGCCACTACTCCAAAGAGAGGGAGGCCCAAAGGCAGTGTTTCACGGACCTGTTCACACTGTGGACTTTTGGCCTCTAGTATCACAAATTTGACTGTGCACATCAGGCGTAAACACAGCCACCAGTACAGTTATTTGTGTAAAGTATGTAAGTATTATACTGTAACTAAAGGAGATATGGAACGTCATTGTGCCACCAAGAAACATAAAGGACGGGTTGAAACAGAAGCAAATGGCAAACAGAGTTCAGATATAATTGTTGGCCCAGAAGGGGGTAATCTTGAAGCGTGTAAAAAGAACACCCCTCCAGCAGTGACTGTTTCCGATGAATGCGCTAACAAGTCCGCGGAGTCAGATGCGCTTACTTTAGATAAGCCAGTGGTTGATTGTGCAAGTGCAGGAGAAGTTGAAGCCGAAAATACATTTCATTCTGTAGATGGAGAAGGTAGCAGCAGACACTCCCATAAAAGGGGACAGGTACCCCTTGAGACAGAGGTCCTTCTGCAGCAGATGGATGCATGCTCTCAGAGAGATGCTGCAGGCTCTGGTGACAATAAGTGCATGCACTGTGAGTTCAGTGCTCACTCTGCGGCTTCACTAGACCTGCACGTGAAAAGGAAGCACACCAAAGACTTCCAGTTTTACTGCATGGCCTGTGACTACTACGCAGTGACCCGCAGAGAAATGACGAGGCACGCTGCGACAGAGAAGCATAAGATGAAAAGGCAGTCTTACCTCAGCTCTTCCAATGCGGAAGCAGATTCTTCAGAAATGTCCAAAAGCATCCTTATCACGGAAGAGGAGCATTCGCAAAGCCCCGAGGAATTCAAAGTAGCACCAGACCAGTCACATGCTACGCTCAGATCTGGAAATGCTGCAGGCTGCTCTGCTGTAGATGAGAGTACTGGCTTAGATGTGTCTAAAGCACTCTGTGATGCCGACTCAGTGGAAATTGTGACCGAGGAAGATCATTCCTTTTGTGAGACCTTGCAACAGCCCCTTGTTAAGGACAAAAGTATGAAACCCAGAGAGATAGTGTCCCTTAGTACTCACTCTAATCATGGCTTCCCAGGCTGCCTTCAAAGTGAAGATCCAGGGAGCTGTGCTGTGGCTTGTGAGGCAGCAAAGACAAACCACGGCATGTTGAGTGATGTTGGTGACCCAAGTGCACGCTGTGAAGATGAGGGTTGCAGTGCTGATGGCAGTGGAGGTAAAGTTCTTAACAAGTCCCTCTGCTCTGGAGACTTAGATGGGGGCCATTCGGCTGAGTCTACTTCCTCTGTTGTGCTGAAAATACCAAGAGAGCAGCTGCCCCTGGATGGTGGTGGCCAGAACAAGGTTGGAAGCGAACAGAGTTCAGAAGGTTTGAAAGACGCTGAGAAGAAGGCAGTTCTGATTAATTCGCACCATGGAACTGAAATTGTCTTGGAAGAGGATGGCCCGGCTTCTGATGACACAGTGGACAGCAATGATGTTTATGAAACTATAATAAGTATTGATGATAAAGGACAAACCATGTACAGTGTTGGCCGGTTTGATTCTTCTATAATTAGAATAAAAACTTCTGAGGATGGTGAATTAGCAGATCAGTCGGAAGAGGGTCTGATGGCGACAGGGGCTAGGGTTAGTGAATTGCCCCTAAAAGACGGTGCTCAAGGTTTGAAGAGGAGGAAAGTTGAAGGCAGTTCCCTCGGCGAGTCCACACGAATCCGATGTGATGATTGTGGTTTCTTAGCAGACGGACTGAGTGGGCTGAATGTTCACATAGCCATGAAGCATCCTACAAAAGAGAAACACTTTCATTGTTTACTTTGTGGGAAATCATTCTACACGGAGAGCAACCTTCACCAGCATTTGGCTAGTGCTGGTCACATGAGAAATGAACAAGCCAGTGTAGAAGAGCTCCCAGAGGGAGGGGCCACCTTCAAATGTGTCAAGTGTACGGAGCCCTTTGATTCTGAACAGAATTTATTTCTGCATATTAAAGGACAGCATGAAGAGTTGCTGCGGGAGGTAAACAAGTACATAGTGGAGGACACCGAGCAAATCAATCGAGAGAGGGAAGAGAACCAGGGCAACGTGTGCAAGTACTGTGGGAAGATGTGTCGCAGCAGCAACTCCATGGCCTTCCTGGCTCACATTCGGACCCATACAGGTATGTGACTCTGCAGCAACCTGCCAAGTGTGCCCTGTGGGGCCCAACCAAGTGTGGAACACAGCTCGGATTTCGTGTTTGCGTGCCCTGCTCGTGTCTAGGAAGTGTGGCCATTTAACACTTCCAGAGGCAATTTAGGCTTAGAGACTCTAAGGGCAGAGGAGTGGACAGATTTCTTTTATTTCTGTCAAAAGTGCTCCTATGTTTTTTTCTCTTTTTTCTTTTCTTTTTTTTTTTTTTTTTTTTTCTGCTTTTCATTTGTTTTGTCCTAATTATTTGGTTTTCCAAAGTTACAGGGAATGACACTTTGTGTAGCCCTGGCTGCCCTGAAACTCACTATGTATCCTAAGCTGTTTTACACCTCACACAGATCCACCTGCTTCTGCTTCCCGAGTGTTGGGATTAAAGGCGTCCTCCCCCGTACCTTCACATTTTCACCTTTCCCCCTTCCCTCCCATTCCCTTGTCCCTACCTCCTCTCTCCCCAGATCCACTCCCCCTAACCCTTCAGTAAAGGGCAAGCTGCCCAGTATATCAGTAAAGCATGGCATATTAAGTTGTTGCAATAAGACTAGACATCTCCCCCAGTATTAAGCCTGTACAAGGTAAACCAGTGGAAGGGGAAGTCCTAAAAGTAAGCAAAGAGAGGCCCCGACTGTTAGGAGTCCCATGAACAGACTAAGCTAAGCAACCATAGCATGCAGAGGACCTAGGCCAGTTCCATGCAGGCTCCCGATTGTTAGTTAGTTCAGTCTCTGTGAGCCCCTGTGAGCCCAGGCTAGTTACCCGTGTGGACCATTTTCTTGTGGTGTCCTTGTTAGCCCTGGCTCCTACAATCCTCCCTGCCCCACTTCTGTAAAGGTGTGTGTCACCACGTCCTCAAAATTTTATCCTTCACTTTTTAATGTGTTTTTGCCTGCATGTATGTGTACTGCATGCCTGCAGTACCCATGGAAACCAGAAGGGGGCATTGGATCCCCTGGGCCTAACCTGGGTCCTGTGGAAGGCAAGTCAGTGATCCTAACTGCTGAGCCTCTTAATAAAATTCTTAAGATACTAGACATTTAAAAATACTCATCAACAAATAATTTGTATCTATAAGTGTGACTCCCAGCAGTAAGAATCTGCTCTCAAGGACCAGAATTTGTGAAGATGGTTTCCTTAGTATGTATTAGAATTTACTTTTCATTGAGGTAGTATCTGATTTAGTGTCTGTATTCTGACACATTGAGCATTCCATGTTAATGTTTAGTTTGGGGAGAGATTTTTTTTTTAAAATATATATATATATATATATACATATATATATTTGGTGAAAAATGCATAAGCCACTGTTGTAAATTTATGTAGGAATTGACTGCAGTGTTTCTATAAACCTGCCATACATTCTTTATTTTCAATAGACAGCTTTTCTAAATCATTGTGCTCAGCTTAGACAAGTTCTGTCTACATGGTTGAATTTATGAGTGGATTTGAATAATAAATTCACATTTCAATGAGCATATTTTCATTAAAACTGTAAGGTTTGTTTTACTGTACTTTTAAATAATGGCGTATTATTAAATCTATACTTTAAATTCCTGCAGTTTTTGAAACTTAGTGCATGGTTACACGGAGAAAGACACAGAGCATTATCAGTAGTTGAGGTTGATTAAAGATAGATGAAACATTTCCCTTAAAGAAGGTAACAGAATATTTCAGGAATTATAAATACTGCAGCTCCTGCCCTCAACTAGTGACTGCAGGAGAGTCATTTCTGTAGGACGCTCAAGTGCTTATTTGTTTGCATTACAGGTACCACTCAGAAATGACATGGTATTAGATACCAGGCTGTTCTTCTGCATGGAAAATATGTGTTTTCTTAACATGCCCTCTTCTTAAGTCAGATTAAGCTGAATAAAACTAAGAGGAAGATGCTAATGGAGCTCCTTTTAGAATTCTTTATGCAACTGTCTGGTCAAGACATGTTGCTTATAATTGATGTGTCCATTACTTGAATTCTCTTGTAATTATAGTCAATAAGTCTTGTAAATGTGTTAAAGCTCACTAAAAGCATACAAATTCAAGAACAGAGTAAGGCTAATAATTTAAAATAATCAATGTAGGCATTTCAGCACTTAATTTCCCTTGTGTGTTGATAGCTGATCATTCTTAATCCATTAAGATTTATTTAGTCGTTTACAATGCAAAATAGGTTTGCACTGGTCACTTGTGCCATTTGAAAATGTCTGCCAGGTTAAGTGCGGAATGTAGTCCATTAGTCTTCCTTGACTATATGTATTAATTGCATTTAAAATCAAGTTAATGTGGACGTGAGAGTGAGGTAGCTATCAGTGTGTGACAGAGTGGCCCTGCTTACATAAGTTAAATCATCGATCGCAACATTTAGGGAAAGTTCGCAATCTTGTTTTTTTGGATCTTTTGTTGGTCTATTCAGCAAGTACATTTTTACGGTGTTCTGAAGTACGCCAGAGTGCTCGATCCCTTCCCGAGCGTGGAGGACCAGCCCACCATGTCAATCTTACAAGACACTTTCTGGTGGAAGTTGCTCTTCAGGTTTTGGTTTCATGTTTGTTTGTTTTTTGAATATCTTAAAATGGATGGATTTCTGGTAATCTGCTTTTATTTATGAAGGAGTAATTAATGCAGGACCCATTATTACTGCTTAGCTGGAAAGGGGCTTGCTCTTCAACCCATTTCCATATTTGGAATTTGCTCTATCTTTTGTGTAACCTGTTGTAATCATTCTTAGCATGATAAAAGCAGCATTCTGAGCAAATGAGTCTTGGTTATCAGGAATTGTAGGAAGAGATCATCTCAGTTCCTGGGCATTGGTGGTGTGAAACACTTTGCTTGATTACCAGGCGTCTTCCCTCTAGCATTGGAAGAGCTCACGGAGCAGGGGTTATCTCTTGTGCAGTATTCTCCTAAAGCTTTTATGTCACAGGACGTGAAAGATGTCTTTAACCCTCAAGACACTGGGGAGCCATTCTTTTTGTGTTCACTTACACCCTTGAACGTGTTCACATGTGGGTGTACGTGCTGTGTGTGACTTCACTAAAAGCTCCAAGTTAGTGCCTGGTGACTGTAAGTCCGTGTGTAAGTTTAGACACAATACAGACCTCCAAGACATTGATTTGTAGACTGAGCACAGCGGGGAGCAACTGACTTCATTCCCTACTTACTCTCTTTTTTTCTTTTCTGATTTTTTTTCTTTTTTAACTTTTTTAACTCACTCCTTACCGTGTACGCACTCTACGTGCAGTTGGCTTCGGTGCAGTCTCTTTATGGGTTAGTGAATGACCGGATGCCTGGCTGAGTGAAAAGTGAACAAATGAAGTGTTCAGATGCTTAGGAAACGCTTCTGGTTTCCACACAGTCGGCAAGCATTGCATGGCACACATGCATCCGCATCCCCTCCCCCCTCTGCGCAGACCTGAAGGAGCCTGCCCTTGAGTCTGTGTTTGCAGACCACTAAGAATGCAGCAGAGGTATGCATGCCTTTAGGTCTGAGTGCACACTCAGTTTTCAGCTATTTGTGATTTGCTTAGTTCAGGCACCAGAAACTTAGGGCCACTTTATTCACCCCCCCCCTTTTATAAAATCTTACAGACCAAAATTAAAAAAAAAAAAGTCTTCTAGTTTTCTGAGGATAATGTTGCTCCAAGGAATTGATTTATTTAATATAGTTCTTGATGGTTTTTAGTACTAAAAATACGTCTAAGAGAAAGGGAAATTTAGAAATATGTGATTTATAGGTTTTGTGTTATAAGTGTGTGCCTGGGTCTGCTTCATAATGTGCATTGTGTAGCAACTGTAAAAAAGGAATGTTATCTCTCAGGAAGTGAAGGGAATGGCTTCCTTTTCTTACAGAGAGGATGTCCTCAGCTGATTGTGGGATGCCAGTGGCTGGGAAGGAAAGCCTGCCCTGATAGTTAGCTGGGAGTCAGGGCTCCCTGACTTTGTAGGCAGAGCAGTTGACAGAATCCCTGGTGTGTGTGGGGTCCATGCCCTGCATCCGTGAGCCCTGAGGATTGGTCAGACAGCAGACTGGAACCAAGGCAGCTTCTGACCGTCCGCTGTGGTGTTGGTACCACCTGAGCTGAGCTGCGGGTCAGGGCTCAGGCTGTCCTAGTGAAGCCGCAAAGCTACCAGTGTCTCCATCTGATGCTCCCAGTCGCTGTTCAGATACATGTTGGGGGAGTTTTATCTTTTTTGTTTGAGGTCCTGATGCTATTTTTTACTAATAATTCCAAATTGTCCTTGAAAAAGCACTTGAAGTTAAAGCACAGGCAAATTGACTCAGCTTTCAGAAGGTCTGTTAGGGTTCTGCCTCACCTGTAATGTTTCATAGTAATGATAGGCTTAGTTTTTATCAGGGTCACTTCCAGAATGATTGATAGGCGTGATCGTTATAACCTGAAGCCCCAACCTGACTTGGTATTTAAACACATACACCTTAACTAGATAGAACCATTCTGGTGTTGGACATCCTTTACACCCACTTCTGGCCATACAAATCTGAAGTAGTGAGACATCAGTTTATGGTCATTGGACAATGAAATAAATACTAAGCCTGCTTTGCTACACACAGTGCCGTTGGCTTTTTTTTTTTTTTTTTTTAAACCCTTTTTTCTTTTTAAAATTTCTGTTGGAAGGTTAAAATAAAATGGTTTACTTTTGTGGTCACCTTTTGAGAATAAAACTGAAATTTAAGAGTCTAATTTTTTCTTGAGAGGTTTAGTTTCAAGCATACCTCCTCCCCCTGATGATTTTTATTTTTTACAGGCAGGACTGTACAGAAATTCATTGATTGAAGATGATTGAATTTTTTTTTTTATTCTGTGATTTATAAAATTTACAGATTTCATACTCTAACCATACTGGAGGAGTTATTTCACAAAATAGACACTAACCCTGACATAAAACATCTGGGACGCCATGATCTTAAGCTGTGCTCTTCAGTATTTCAGTTTATTCCAAGAGGTAGTAGTTAGAAAACTGGGAGGAAGTGTGTTCATACCTTCATCCTTAGGAGATGCCACTTCCTGTCAGTGAAGGACGGAGTGATGAATGGACAGTGCCGGTCACTCACAGTGATCCTAGTGACTGAAAGGGTTGAGTTTCTTGTTTTGCAATAGTTTTACCTTGCTCCATATTAAGTAATTGAAACCCTTTTCTGGTTCTTGCTGAGCCTCTTGTGTTGAAATACTTGTTAGGGAACTCAGTAACCAAAATGTTGACACTTGTGGTTTGCTGATTCATCACAGAAATGGAATGATGACAGGGGCTTAGCAGTCATGTGCTGTGCGGTTCTATGTTTGTGGAGATGGTAATAAAATAGTCATAGAAAGACTCATTGAGGTCAGTGGCAAAACAACTGTGTTATTGTGGTTTGTGCAAATAAATTCCAAGTGGGAGAAATCTGAGGAAATTGGACAGACACTGAGAAATAGACTCAATAGTACACTTTGTAGATACCAGTGGCCTTATTTGTATTTGCATTTCCAAAATGTTTCATTTATAAATAGAATTCCTTCAAGAAGTATTTTTGTCAGTTGTATGAAAAATGTTTAGCATTACTCAGCTCATTTAAGCTGCTTAGTGGCATGCAGCGTTTGACTTTAATTCTTAGAAACGTTATTGAGAATTGGCAATGTTCACTAAAACATTAAAACCTAGGTGAGATAATTATGGGGTCAAGAACGTTATAAGTGAATGCATGCATTTTATGTTTTGGGGGTGAATTCTTAATCAGATTGAAGGTTTAACTTAAGATTTAGTTTACCCTCCCCATTTAAAAGCCTGTTAGTAATGTGTTATTTAAGTCCAAACCTTATTTTATGTTAAATTTACTCAGGGTCAAAACCATTCAAGTGCAAGATATGCCATTTTGCCACAGCTCAGCTCGGAGATGCCAGGAACCACGTGAAAAGGCACCTTGGGATGAGGGAGTACAAGTGTCACGTCTGTGGGTGAGTAGCATGAAGCCGCCTCTGCTGTGTGAACCGGAGCTGTGTGCTGCCTAGCCATTGTTTGGGAATTCGGAACTGATGAGCTAGAGTGCGGAAATGATGCCTGAGCTCGCTCCTTTCCTTTGTTATGGTAAATCCCTTCAGTACCGCTAGCTATGACACTCTTGTCCTACTTCTACTCCTGCCTGGAGATGAGCAATTTTACGGGCTACAAGGTCAATTTGAACCTGTAATCTCTAAATTGACTAAATTATAGGATGTTCATTCACATTGCCAGAGAGAACTATAAATTCCATTTAAAGACACCCCCCCCCCCCAGATAATACAGCTTTAGGAGAGCATACACCCCCCCCCCCCCCAGATAATACAGCTTTAGGAGAGCATATGTATGTTTTTTTCCTTCTGCTATACTGCCTTAATTTTAATCACATTAATGGCTCTTTGGATCAGTTGAGCATATTCTATAAGGAAAAACAAAAGATTTAATTTCAGATGCCTGATAACCGATCACTTGAGGTGTGGTAAAAACAGTGTATAATGTACTTCAGTGTCGTGTGATTAAAACGAGTTTCCCTTTTCATGGTTCTTTGTAGAGTCATTCATAGTGTTTTAATTGTCACTCAGGTTTGTTACACTTCATAGAAAGCGCTGAGGGGCCTTAATGTAAAACCAATTAATGTAGCAGAAATGTTTAAAAGGTTTAAAGTGCTATGGCATATATAGTGTATCATAGGACATTCAGGGGTGGGTTGTAGTACTCTATTTGTTAAAATATATTTTAATGTTATTACGCTAGAGAAATTAACTAATAAGTATGTCATACAAAATACTTTATGCGAAATTTAAGAAATCTGCAATTCATAGATCTAGTTAAATTATGCATCATGCAAATATCATATGTTTATGGAGAAGGCTCCCCAAGTTTACATGAGTGTGTAAACATGTAACCTCCTTTAGGTCAGGGGCAGTTCTGCTTTTATTGGACAATACATTTTACAGATAACTTTGCAAGCAATTTTATCAACCATGGAGTGTGATTTATTCGCTGGCCAGGTTGATGGTTCAGTGACTTGCAGGTAAAGTAAATGAAGATGGACCCTTGCCCTGGGCCATTCATGATCGGTTGGAGAAGGAGTTTTGTTCTGCTGAGTTTCGCTGCCGGGGTCAAGTTTCAAGGGGTTCATTTTAATTCCTATAGGTCTTGTGATTTTAAAAGACATCTAATTTCCTGTTTTCATTCTCTTGAGTTATAGGAGATGTTCCTGACTCCAGTGAAAATGTGTTATTTGGAGGCATAAGCACTTTATTTCCCATTGGTGAAAAATAACTAGTTTTGTGCATATTCGGTTCATTGAAATCTAATTTTTATCCAGCTTTAAAATTTAGGGTACTAAGATATTGGAAAGAGAAGGACAACTTTTTTCAAAGAACCCTATTTTACATAGTATCGGAAACACTTTATAATTCATTGGCTCTCAGTGTATAATCGGAGCACTGTAGCTTTCCTTAGCCAATTGTTTACACTGCATTAGTGGTTCACATGTTTGATCACCAGGATATGGAATATAAGTAAATATACTTTGAAAATTAGGGTAGCCTTTAAACTTCACCCCCTGTGGAATTGTAGTTCTCTCTGTTTCTAAAAATAAGGTCAGTTTAAAAGTCACACACAGTGGTTTTAGCAGGGTAGATAGCCTTAAAGTGAAGCCAGAAGCTCTGAAGAGAGTGAGTGAGTCTAGGATTGTTAGTGAGATTGAGTAGAACAGTAATGAACTAGGAATTCAGTGTTCAGGAAGGGGTGTGTGTTTCCTGTGCTAGGCTCGGGGTCATCTTATGTTCTGTGTTTCCTGTGTTAGGTACGGGGTCATCTTCGGTTCTGTGTTTCCTGTGTTAGGTACGGGGGTATCTGTGTTTCATGTGCTAGGTACGGGGTCATCTTTGGCTCTGTGTTCCGTGTGTTAGGTATAGGAGAATAACATAAAAGTTTACATGGAAAGCAAAACAAAAAGCAGGGACTGGTTCTACTGACACTGGAGAATGTTGGTACATTAGCATTGCTGACAGTGTCAATTCATTATCACTGATGGCTAAATAATCTCACAAATGCTCAGTGGACCCATTAGTTCCTGAACATAAGCAGGCTATGCTGCATTTCTTCATTAACTTTAATTGCTATAAATTTTACCTTTTACAAAAATCATGCTTTAAAAGGTAAAGTGATCTTTCAGGAACATTAATTCTATAATTTTGTCACAAACAGAAGGTCCTGTACTGTTTTCTTTTCTCTAGTAGTTAATATCTTAGCCTCAGTCCTTTGAAATTTTATTAATGACCTCTTCCTTATCTGCTTATAAGTGGTAATTTATCAAATAGTCCTGTTGAATAATGTGTAAAACATTGAGGTAGGCACATTTTTGAAATAACTGTTATAAACTGAACTTGTTTTTTTCATTGACCTTCTAGTTTTCTTATGGTGAAATTTGTGGAAATGGTATGGTCTATGGAGTAAGTTCTATGTTATTGTAGTGGGTTACTTGTGTTGTTTGGCGGTTTTTTCTTGTTTTTATGTAGGAAGACTGTATATCCATGAGAACTATGTGTGTTAGAGTGTCCACTTGCAGTTTTAGAATTTTGACACGTCAGCTTTCACATTAACAACTGCCTTTAAAATTGTTGCATCTAGTTCTAGGGCAGGCTCCTAAGCAATACAGAGAAACCCTGTCTTGAACTACCCAAACCAAACCAAACCAAACCAACAAAACAATTGTTGCATCTAGACTTAGGCTAATTTTTCTTTTTTTAATCTTCAAGGTCACTAATTTGAAGGTGTTTTCTTTCTTAACCCCTACTGGAAGATGCTGGCTACAGTGTGGCAGGGTTTAAATTACCTTGACAGAAGAAGCTGAATGAGTTGAAAGTGTAGATCCCACTGGCTCTGACTTAGGGTTGGCGTTCTGCATAGGCAAGATTGAGCTATTCATGTAATGAACACATTGCTGCACAGTTCATGTTTTAAAGCAGATAGAGTAAAGCTGTTTGTTTACTCTTAGTTCCAGGAGAAAAGAGTTTTGTTTGTTGACTTGTAGCTGCTGTATTTAAAATCATTTATTTTGTTTATGCATGTGATTGTTGTGTCCACATGTGTGTCGTACAGCACATGCATTCTTGCTCCCCGTGCCCGTGAGGTTAGAAGAGGCCTGAAGATCCCCTGCAGCCGGAGTTGTGTGTGATTGTACATCGCCATGTGGGTGGTGGGAATCAAGTCCAGGGTTTTGCCTGTACATACATGTAAGTATGATGAGGAGAAGAACGCTGGAGTCTCTGCTCTTGATGCACAGTTGACATGGAAGTCAGCTGGAGTGTGACAGCGTGACAGCGAGACAGCGTGACAGCGAGACAGCGTCACAGCAAGACAGCGAGACAGTGACAGTGACAGCGAGACAGTGACGGTGACAGTGAGACGGTGACATTGACAGCGAGACAGTGACGGTGACGGTGACGGTGACGGTGACAGTGACAGTGAGACAGTGAGACGGTGACGGTGACGGTGACGGTGACGGTGACGGTGACGGTGACAGTGAGACAGTGACAGTGAGACAGTGACAGTGACAGTGAGACAGTGATGGTGACGGTGACAGTGACAGCGAGACGGTGACGGTGACAGTGAGACGGTGACAGTGACAGCGAGACAGTGACGGTGACAGTGAGACGGTGACATTGACAGCGAGACAGTGACGGTGACGGTGACGGTGAGACAGTGAGACAGTGACAGTGAGACAGTGAGACAGTGACAGTGAGACAGTGAGACAGTGACAGTGAGACAGTGAGACAGTGAGACAGTGACAGTGAGACAGTGATGGTGACGGTGACAGTGACAGCGAGACGGTGACGGTGACAGTGATGGTGACGGTGACAGTGACAGCGAGACGGTGACAGTGACAGTGACAGTGAGACAGTGACAGTGAGTGAGACAGTGACAGTGACACAGTGACGGTGACGGTGACGGTGAAACAGTGTGACAGCGAGTCAGCGGCAGGAGCGGCACTGGCTCCTCCCCTTCGCGCTCCACAGCCGGCAGTTTTACTCAGCTACTTCCAGGGACGCACAGAGTGGGCCACAGGCATCTTTTTATGGGATTCATGATCCGTTGTCCCCTGTTGTTGTTGTAGTTGAGAATGTGAAAAGTCTCAGCCCTTCAGAGTCATTTTACACATCTTGTTGCTCTTGTTAATTCTGAGTGTGGGGCTTGGGGGAGTACTTAGTGGTGGAACTCTTGTCTAGCATGTGCAAGGGCAGGATCAATTCTCAGCACCCCACACCACACATGAAATTAATAACCACTGAGCATTGCGCCTAAGGTCAGCCTTGTGCAGTGCTTGGTGGTAAACGCTGCGTTCTACATTGGTCTCATTTGCTGACCTGGATGACTTGTATTCTTTACTCCATGTTTGCCGTCCCCGTTTATAAATGGGAGGCAGCAGGTACAGTAAGTGTGCGGTGACACACTTAAACTCTGTAGCCGGCCCTCCTGGCGCATGGCTGCTCATCCTAATCATTCCTTTCTGTTCACCATCTTCTGCTCTTTGCTGTGCGTGCCTTTTGCATTGCTTTGATTTTACTCATTGTTTACCCAGGTTGATTTCTGTAGCGTGTGACAGCGTACAGCCTGCTTGCTCCCACTACCGCCTTTATCCCATTTTTGTTAAAACTGACTGTGGTAAAGCATGCTTACCTCTTCCTCTCATACCCTGCATTCGCCCTTCCCCATTTCTTTTGTTCTTACTGTAACGATGTAACTGCCTCCCCCGCTGGCTTTCAGCTGTTGTACTTACATGTGGGTGACCATGGCTGTGTAATAGGGAAAAGGAAGTGCTTGTCAGTGGTGATGGGCTAAAATTGATCAAGTTAGGTTCTTGTTGTATTTCAGTACTAATTATCTTAAAGATTTTCAGAAAACTTACAGTACTCCTGTGTCTCCATAAACCCAGGAAATGATACCT